GCATTCCCTCTGGGAACACAGCCCAGGTTCATTATTCCAGAGTTTACTCAATCCATGCCCTGCTTGGCCAAACCAAGAGCAATTTTTGGGCCCCAGGAGTGGGTTACTTGCAAATTCAGGAGTTAATCTTGTTCCCACCTCCAAGTGAACCCTTTCCCAGTTGCAGCTGTGGCCAGAGATGGGCAGCTTCAAACAGGGCTTTCCATTATTTTAATTTTGCATTATGTTTATATTTTCATTATGTTTATATTTGCATTATGTTTATATTTGCATTATGTTCATAAATTTTCAGGATTCAAAATTATTCAAAAATTATTTTCACTACTTAAAAAAAATTTTTTTTTGGCCCTTTTCAAATTTATTTTCAAATTTACTTTCTGTTCTTTTTTCCTCTTTCAGATTTAATTATTTTTCCTTTTTAAAAATTTTCATTGTTTTCAAAATTTCTTTTCACTCTTTTTCTTTTTTAAAATGGATTTTTTCTGAAAAAAAATTTCCTTTCATTATTTCCCCTTTTCAAAACTTTTCATTGTTTTCAAAATTTCTTTTCACTCTTTTTCTTAGGACAGATTTTTTTTAAAAAAATTTCATTATTTTTCCTTTCTAAAAATTCTCATTGTTTCAAAATTTCTTTTCGCTCTTTTTCTTTTTTTAAAATGGATTTTTTTAAAAAAAATTTCATTATTTTTCCTTTCTAAAAATTCTCATAGTTTCAAAATTTCTTTTCACTCTTTTTCTTTTTTTAAAATGTATTTTTTAAAAAAAAATTTCATTATTTTTCCTTTCTAAAAATTCTCACAGTTTTAAAATTTCTTTTCACTTTTTCTTTTTTTAAAATGGATTTTTTTAAAAAAAAAATTTCCTCTCATTATTTTTCCTTTGAAAAGTCGATTTTTATCATTTTTATTTTTAAATCTTGGCCATTTAAATTGTTTTAATCGATTTTTATTCCTTTTCAATGCAAAGTTTGGAGGAACAACTTTACAAACACCTGCAGCTACGAGGGGCGAGGGGGAGGAAAAGGGGGGGGGAGAAACCAAACAAACAAAAAAAAGAAACTCCTGAGTGTCAGAAACCAAAAAGAACAGAAGGAAAACTCCACGTGGACAGAACGTGCTGCGACACAGAATAATCAGGAATTAATTGATCTTAATTTGAAGGTGGAAGAGGCCGCTGGGGCCGAGATGAATTTGCTCACCTGGTGGGAGAGGGCATTAGCCTGCCTAGCTGTCATCTGCTGCTCATAATAGGAGTCCCCAAAAACACTGCCCAGCATGGAAGAATGCTGAAAACAAAACAAGAGGCTTTATGGCGCAAACCCCCCACGGCTCCTCCGGCACCAGCGGAGCTCCAGGACATCCAGGGAGCAGCAGGAATGCCCTGGCACAGGCAGGGAACCCCAGCAGCTCCTCCCTGAGCACGGACAACACGGAGAACTCGGGGGTTATGGACACACACACACGGGGAGGCACAGAGTTAACTCGGGGGCTTGGGGTTTTTGGGGGATTTGGGGGGAGAAATGTCACACTGGGGCATCGAAGAGAGCCCAGGTGGGGCTGGGCTGGGGCTGCAAGGACAAGAGGCGTGGGTTAAAGTCATTTTACAGGAGCAGGAGAGGTGAGGAGGAAGCCCAGGGAAGCGTGGGATGGGCAAGAATTCCAGGAGGAATTCCTCAGCCTTCCTAAAGTCACCGTCCCCTCCAGCACCACAAGGGTTTAGCATAATTGTCCATCACTTATCAGTTGTTCTAAAGGTGACCAAGAATTCATCAATTAAAAGTGACCAAGGATTCATCAATTAAAGGTGACCAAGGATTCATCAATTGTTCTAAAGGTGACCAAGGATTCATACATTATTTTAAGGGTGACCGAGAATTCACCAAGTGTTCTAAAAGTGTCCAAGAATTCATCAATTGTTCTAAAAGTGACCAAAATTCATCAATTGTTCTAAAAGTGACCAAAATTCATCAATTAAAAGTGACCAAGAATTCACTGATTGTTCTAAAGGTCACCAAGAATTCATCAATTATTCTAAAGGTGACCAAGGATTCATCAATTAAAGGTGACCAAGAATTCATCAATTAAAGGTGACCAAGGATTCATCAATGATTCTAAGGGTGATCAAGAATTCATAAATTGTTCTAAAAGTGTCCAAGAATTCATAAATTGCTCTAAAAGTGTCTAAGAATTCATCAGTTGTTCTAAAGGTGACCAAAAATTCATAAATTATTCTAAGGGTGACCAAAAATTCATAAATTATTCTAAGGGTGACCAAAAATTCATAAACTGTTCTAAAAGTGTCCAAGAATTCATCAGTTGTTTGAAAGGTGACTGAGAACGTGAGGACAGTGATTTAATACTATGGAATACTGTCCCCCCAAAAAAATGCCAGATAGAAAAGAAGTCAGAGATCACTTCTCTAAAATTTACAAACTCTGACATTCCAGCTGGAAAAAAAAAATCCATCTATTGGCAAGGAGAATGTCTATTAAAGATAATTTGCGTGGAGAGATTGTCTCAGTCCTGAGGTGGAAATTCAACTGCTGATTTATTTTATTTACATGTTAAAAGCAGAAGGCTACAAATTTCCTCCTTAAAAACCTGAGCAGGATGGGAACAAACACCTGAAGGGATCAAACATCCAAAGGGATCAAACAGCAGAAGGGATCAAACACCAGAAGAGATCAAACAACCACAAGAGCCACGTTAGAGCTGATAAGAGAAAAAGCAAAGCACTACTTAAATCAATTTATTTCAAGAAAAATTTGGGGGTTTTAACCCACTGAGCCCTTATTTGCTGCCCTGTCATGCCTGGATCAACTATCCCAATTCCATCTTATCCAACCTGCTCCATCTGTTACTCCTGAAAAACCCGGAGTCAGAACCCAGAGCTCGCTCAGGCGAGTGGATCAGGACCAGAACTCTGCGATGGAGTGGCAGGAACAGCACCAGCACTGTGGGGTCAGGGGATCAATGAGGTTGGAAAAGGCCTCTGAGATCATCAAATCCAACCTCTGGGTTATAATCACTTCTAAGGACAAAGCTGAATTTTGGGATGTCACCGGCTCGACGTGAAGCAAGAGCAGCACCAGAAATCCAGTTGCTATCCGAGAGCTCCAAAGAGGATCGAGGTATTTTTTTCCCTTTAAACCCCTGTCCTTTCATTTCCCAGGAGCTTTCCAGAAGTGCAGGGCAAACCCTAAAACCTCTGTGTTTCACTAAGCACCGTTCCCATCCTAAAAAACTCTGGGGAAGGTGAAAAACAATCAACAGGAGAGCAAGGCCGTGTCTGTGCAAGTCCGGGTCAGTAACTCCTAACAAAACACTGGATTTGCTCCTCGTGTGAAGTGTGCTCAGATACTACAGCTGCAAGCACTGAAATTCCCAAGGGAAACCCGCTGGAAATGTCATTGTTTCAACACTTCAGAGCCTTGGAATAACTTATCCACAGCTCCGGGAAGAACAGCGGGAACGCTGGGCCGAGGGTTCTGCCTGCAGGGGATCCCCCGGGGTTAATGCCGTGGGCACTGCAAGGAAAAACCAGCCCCCTGGCTGGAATGAGCCACTCCAAAAATACCTACCACGTTCTCCAGGTCAGAGGCACTAGAGCAGGAGGGTTTGGGAGCAGGAGCAGGATGCTGGGGGTGAGGGGAGGGCAGAGGAGGAGGAGGAGGAATGGGAAGCCATGCAAACACAGAGCTGGGGCTGCAGGCAGAGCTTTCCAGTCCCTGGCTGGACACACACACACACACACACACACACTGCTGGAACACAGGAGCAAAGGATTTGGAGAGGTGGGAAGATGAAGGAGAAGCTCAGGTGAATGAACCGGGTGTGATCCAAAGGAAAACCCGGGGTTCGGGGTTTAAAGGATTCCCCTCATAACACTGGAAGGGTGGAACCCAAAATTCCTGGGAGAAGGAGCAGCACCTACTTCATCCCACTCCTTACACTCGTTCCCTTACACTGGGGCACCCCCAAACCCAGCTTGGGTTTAATTTCCTGCTGCTGGCAGGTAAAAATCCCCCTTCAGAGGATCCCCAAACTGTGACTTCCACACAGGACACGTGGATGTGTGAGGAGATACTCACAGGAAGGAAGACCAGCTCTTCCACAACGGGAATATTCTCCTGCTTGGAAGGGTTCTGCCTTCCCTCTGGGCAGGTTAAAGGATCCTGGCACCTGGGAGCTGCCACAACCAACCCCAATCTTCCCTCCAAACTGGTTTCTCTTCCCCCATTGCTTCTCTCCACCTTTAAATATTTCTGACCATCACCAGTCATTGCTGGAGGCAGCAAAGCCATCTTGGTTTTAATTTAGGAAAAAGAAAGGATTCTGTGGGTATTTAAGAGGCCAGTACTAGAGTATCAATAAATCCCCTTCCTTGCTCTCAGAGTTGTGGTGTCTCACTTGAAAAGAGCAAAACCTAAGGAAGATTTTATAGGATAAAACAGCCCCAGTAGGAAAAATTACAGCCCAGTGTGTGCCCCACTTGCTGCACTTTGCACCGACCAGAGGCAACAAGTCTGGGGACTAAACCAAGACAGAGTTATGGAGATGTCAAGGGGGAAAGAAAATCAACCTAAAAATCCAAATTGGATGTGCTGCCCACGTGAGAACTGAGTTTGCAGCAGCAGTGGCAGCAGCTCTGCCCCATGGGAGACCCCCAGGGTTAAATGTGGGGTTTGGAGCCACACAAGGACAAAGCAGAACTCACAGAAGCAGAAGAAGAGAGAGGCTAAGAAGCAATTAAGCCAGGCTTGAGGAAATCCAGTCAGTCCTGACACTCAGCTCTAGGTCTGAGCTTACCAGTGACCTGAGCCTGGCTCAGGAGAGAGGGAGTTTCTGCTTTGGAACCATGAAGGGGCAACACTGACTCAGAAAGGATCCTCCTTACAGCCTTCAACGTTAAATGATGGGACAGAAAATGTATTTTCAGACTCCTGGGGTGCTCTGGAAGAACTCCCTGCACCTTGTTTCTGCAGGTGGGATTCTGCAGGGCAGCTATTCCAGCAGCACCAGTATGGAAAAATGCACTTTCTTACACTGAGGCACTCCCAAACCCTGCTTGTTTTTAACTTCTTGCTGCTGGCAGGTAAAAATCCACCTTCAGAGGATCACACACCCCCCCCAGGCTATGACTTCCATATGGGACACGTGGATCTGTGAGCAGATACACACAGAGGAAGGAAAACCAGCTGGCAGGCAAGGCAGAGAGTGGTAACCCATTCCTTGCCAGCCACAAGGGACAGCTGCTTATTTGGGGAGCATTTTCTCCAGTGTTTTCCTTCACAGGGTGTGTTCCCACATTAAGAAGGTCCTGCTGCAAACAGATTTGGCCACACCAGGGAGATTTAGTGCCCCAGGAGGCACTGGAGTCCCCCTCTGCCCTCCCAACCTTACCCATCAGCTCCCCGCCACGATCCTGGGAATTGAAAGGATTCTCCCTGGAGGTTCTGTCCATGGAACAGCCCAAAGAAACCCCACAAACCAGTCCTTCAAGCAGCAGCTTTGTCCCATAAGAAAAAGGCAATTCAGCAGCTATTTGAAAACCTCTGGCCCTGAATGGAAGTGCAGCCGGGATGAGGCGTCGGAGATGCATGAGGAGCACACGGAGTCACAGCGAGACAACCACGGGGCAGTGATGGAGAGACTGGGCTAAAACACACACAAAGCAAGGCCTGTGGAAGCACAGAGTCCCTTACTTGAGGGGAGCTGCCAGGAGAGAAGCCTTGATTGGAGACAGGAGAGGTGGGAGACTGGTTGGCTGGGGAGCCAGCATTACTGCGGTACTGCTGGAGTGAGGCCTACAAAGGACACAGAGTTAAACAGCGTGGCACTGAGGGAGGCCTGCAAAAATCACACACTCCTGGCAAATCCAGCGGGGAGGAACCACCCTCTTCAGCAGTCTGGGCTGTGGAGGAAGGCAGGATTACCGTGGATAACGCCCCAAAAAGGCAGGGAGCTCAGGGGACAGCGTGGCAGGGGCTGTCTGAGCTGTGGGCAAGCACAACTGGGGGAGATTTCCTCCCCTGGGCTCAGTTATGCTCAATTTAAAAAAAAAAAAACAAACATAAAAAAATCAGGTCAGCCAAGGATTTAGGGCAAAGAAGTCTCGAAAGCTGGGAATAATTCAAAAAGAATGTCATTTATTCTTCAGTTCCACTGCCATGCCCACATGTGTGCTCACCCTGCTCTGGGATCCTGCTCTGCCCCGAGCTGAAGAGCCCAGGGGTGTTCTGAAGATTGAGGGGCAGGTGACAAACCTGTTTGACACACCTGGGGTGTCCCCCTGCAAGGTGGGATCCCCCCAAACTCCACTGCACCCCAGGACACTGGTTGGGAATTCCCCCTGTGTTTTGCAGCTTTATATTAGTGACTTTTACACTGAGACGTGTTTTCAAAGATTTACCTTTTTCTCTCCATCATCAAAACCCTAGATTTGAACAAATTAATAACATTAAGGGCATTTAAATAATGCTGTACTAATTAACATCAACAGCAGCACAGCTCTCCTCACTCTACTTCCTCACAAATTAAAGATGATTGAGGAAAACCTGCAATCCAGTAAATTTAATCAGCTGCTTTGCAGTGTGGGAAGACACTGCACTTCCAGTGGTTTTGACACCAAATTCTGTAAATCTCTAGAAAATATCCTTCTGTTCTGCACTGCCACTTGCAGACTGCAAGCAGCCACCCAAACTACAAAGGAATTTCAACTCTGCTTTACAAAAGCTGGGTAGAAGTTGCCAGTGGGGCTGTGACAGCTCAGCTTTTTGGTTAAACTACCTTTAAATCTGTTTGCTTGGGAATTATTTCGGTTGCTTTAAAAGATATAAGCACAGCACCCTAAAAGTTAAGGTCATAAAGAGGTTTAGGATGAGGAAAGCAACACAGAAAGCAAAGGATGAAATCAGAACTGGCTGTACTGGTACTACATGAGGATTAGAACCAAAACACTGGGACATATTTTGAGTGGGAATCCTTTCCACTGCTGGATTGTCCTTCCCTCTTCCCCTTCCAGTCCTGAAAGGGAAGCAGCTGCTCTCAAGAAGGATTTATCAGCACAAACTGTCAAAAATTTCACCCCCAAAGGAAACCCCACAACCCAGTGACAGATCAATAAACAATGATCTCTCCTCCTTCTCCAACCAACTCCTGTCACTGCAGCACTGCCAGGACACCACAGGTGGGACAACCAGGATCCTACACGGGGCAGAAGGAGCAGGAGGAGCTGGACATCCCTCCCTCCCTGCATTTGGGATTTTCAGCTGCTGAGACAGAACATTTCCCAACAGCCCATGGGAAAATGAGCAAGAAAAGGGATCTGCCCATAAATGGATGCCCAGGCACACTCCATGTCTTCTGGGCACTGAGGGCAGCCACAAATCCCATTCTGGAAGGTAATAAGGGGTGCCCTAAAATTCCTTAAAATCAAAGGGTTTCTGTGAAAACATCTGGTTCTTGATAACTTTTGGAATAACATTTCCCAAACGTTCTTTGGATTGGAAAATGCTTGTTGGCAGGTTTTTTTTCCCAAGGCTCTGTGGGCTCTGTGGGTACCTTGAACACCCTGAAAATCTCCCACAGCAACAGCCCAGCCAGGTGTAAAATAAAGGCTGATGTATTTAAGCTGCTCTAATCCAAACCTGGAATTGCAAGGGACAAATGGCCACTCTGAGAGCACATCAAACCCTCATTTTCCTCTAGGAATTTCCACTCCACGTGTCGTTCAAACCCTGCCTGAAATGATGCTCATCACGGGCTCAGGATGATCTGAGCTGCCCAGGCTGATCCCTGCCCCTGCCCTGCTCCCTGCCAGCTTTTCCCAAGGCAAGCTGCTCCCAAACTTACCGAGTTGATGTCTATCCCCATGGAGGGCTGGCTCTGGCTCCCCGGAGGCGACTGGGGGATGGTGGAAGGTACCGTGACGGAGAGAGGGGGGAGCTGAGGGCCCCTCTGCAGCCCCGAGCTCGGCAGGATCGGGGGGTTCTGGGGCAGGGAACTGGCCACTGGGGGCTGCTGCTGCTGCTGGGAACTCGTCTGGGTGAAAAAGGGGTACGGGGGAAGCTGCTGCTCCAGGGACAATGCATCCATAGCCACGGCCTGGGAAAGGAGGAGGAGGATCAGCCACGCTGGAGGGGTTCCCCTTCACACTCAGAGAACCAAAACAGCCTCATTTTGCATTTTAAAAACGTTGCTTTTCACAGTTCAGAAACCTGGTCTAGTGGGAGGTGTCCCTGCCCATGGCAGGGGGTGAAACTGGATGAGCTTTAAGGTCTTTTCCAACCCAAACCATCCTCTAAGTCTATAATTCAAAAGACTCAGTATCACCCCCAATAAACAGACTACAATAAACAGTCTGTACAATAAACAGACACTTTAAAAGCCCAGTTGAATCTTGAGCTCAGAAATCACTGAGGGCAGTCACAGAGACACACTCAGGTTTAAAAAGTTAATCGAGGTTTTCTCATGAACTGGGGAAATGTCTTTCAAATTTCACAGCTGACTTTGGGACAACACTGTCACTGATACCTGTCCCAACAGGGGGTTTTTACCACAGTACTAGAAAAGAGAAAGCAAAATCTCCCTTTTTGAGGCTCTGAATTAAGGAACACTTTTAAAGAAGGAAATTACAGAACAAGAGACATGAAATTCAGAGAATCCCAGAATGGTTTGGGCGGGAAGGGATTTAAAGATCATGGAGTTCTGTGGGCAGGGACACCTTCCACCAGCCCAGGTTGCTCCAAATCCCATCCAACCTGGCCTTGAACACTTCCAGGGATGGAGCAGCCCCAGCTTCTCTGCCCAACCTGTGCCAGGGCCTCCCCACCCTCAGAGTGGGGAATTTTTTCCCGCTATCCCACCTAACCCCCCTCTCTGTCAGTTTGAGGCTGTGCAGAGCCTCAAAACAACGGATCTGGGAGGAAACCAACTCCAACCCTGCCACGAGATCCTACCTGAGTGATGGGTGACAGAGGGGAGAGCGTGGGGGACATTTGCTGGGACTGTGGTCGCCTGGAGTCCGCGCCCAAGGACAGGGGGCTCACGGTGGGCGGGCGGTGCTGCTGGGAAGGGGCCGGCGTCGTCGTCATTCCTGCTGGGAATGAGCACACTGGCTTGAACAGGAACACAGCAACCCTTTACTGATATTGTACCACAGGTAATCACCTCAGTGATGGCCTGAGTGACCAACAAATGGCCTGAGTGACCAGCAAACAGCCTGAGCGCACTCCACACAAAGTGCTGGACGTGTCCAGGCCGATGGGCCCGGAGCTCGTTGGGTGATTTGTAATTAATTTGCTCGGGCTCGAGAGCGTCAGGATGAGAGGAAGATCCCTGTGGTTTATCCTGGACCGAAGCCAGGCCCAGGTTCGTGCACAGATGACTTGGAAGAGGAAGAGGCAGAGCGGCCTCGGCGCTTCCAGGCTCCGCAGGGATCGTCCTCACACACCCCGGGCCCGGGAAAAGCAGGTTCTGCTCTGTTTGTACAGGCTCAGGCTCTGGGAATGACACCACAGATCATGGAGCCACGCTAATCAGAGGGCACTTGAGATATTATAAAAGCAAACACCTCTTTAATGGAAAAAGCAGAAGAAAAACTGGTTATGCAGGAAGAGCTCCATTTCGAATGGCACAGCGCAGGAAATATCCAGCCCACTCCCAAGAGCCACGACCTAGCAGGGGGTAGGGACAAACAACTGAAATATCCCAATTTTGTTCAAATCAAGACAAAAATCTGGAAGTTTAGAAACCTCCTCTATTTTCTGCCTCAGCCCAGAGCAACCGAGTCACCCTGGGAAGTGATCCCAGGACAGTGGGGCGAGCGAGCTGCTCCTCCCGGAGCCGCCAGAAAGGAGGGATTCACGGAGAGCCTCAGAGCTCCCAGGCACTTGGCAAAGGTTCCAGGCTTCCAGGTACGATGCCAGGGAGCCAGGAAGTCCGGGCTGCCAAGGAGCCAGCAGGCAAGAGTGGCTCCAAACGTGAGGCTGTGTTTGCAAACCCCAACATCACCTCCCGGAACGTGCCCGTGAACCGGTGCCGAACCAACCCCCTGGGGTGGCACAAAGGGGCAGGTCTGAGGGGACACCACGAGTGTTTGCTGCCCCACCTTCTGCCAGGGCTGCTCAGGATGTGCCTGGGCAGGGCACAGGGTTCAAAAAGGCCTGACTGAGGTTTCCTGCTTAAGAGCAGCGAGGGAAGTTTGGACAAATCAGTTGAAAAAGTACGGAACGCTGAGCACGGCGGTGCCCGAGCTGTGGGATGGGCTCCAGAGAGAAGCAGGAATATCTTGAATTTGTTATGTCTTTTCAGAGCAATTGCAGACTTACCAGTTGGGTTTTGCACCATATAACTTTGCTAAATGTGGGTACAGCAAAAAATTTAGTGACTCTGGTCTAATTCCTGATTTCTGCTGGAGTGACGGCCCATCCCTGGAACAGCCACTTTTGAGACCAAAAAACTTGTTCAAGGATGCTGAAATCCCCTGAGCCACTCTGCCCTCAAATGGTTAAACCCCCTTCTTGCTTCATTCTCAAACTTACCTGCTCAGTCATTAACCTGATTACAATAATTTCCTTTTCCCAACATAGGAGAGCATTGTCAAGTGGGAAAGGGAATCCTGCCCAGCACAGGAAATCAACTTGTATTTTTGGATACAATGCCTCATTTCTATTCTAGGAATCAACAGACTGCAACTGTCACTGACAATAAAAAAATTCAACCCTCTTCACAATTATTGGGAGCATAAACCAGTGAAATGATCTCAAAAATAATAATCAATAAATTGCCTATAAAGTTAACTAGTCCTGAAATGACCATCCCTGTGAATATTCTACATTGCCAACAAGGCAAATAATGTTTGTTTGTGGGGTTTTAAAAATCAAATTACCCATCTTGTCAAAGTCCTAAAAAACCCCAACAAACACAGCTCAGGTTCACTTGGAGTTATTTCCCAAAGCCCTGAATATTCAGGATGTTTTCAGAACTCAAAGCAGTTCAAGCTCACAAAAAATTAGCACACCTTGGAAAGGCTCCACATTATTCCTGCCTGCCCAAAGGAGAAGATTTGGCTTCAGAGGAAGCAAACAATGTTCTCTCCCCAAGAGAATCCTCAACGTTTAAAAAATGCCATTTTAAAGGGAGGGGAATGAAAGGGCTGCTGAGGATGTTCCCATGACACAGGGGCTGTTGGGGTTCAGTACAATTAAATACAAGAGAGGAACTCTTGTATTATATATTAAAATTAATATATCAAACTCTTGTTTTAGATATTAATAAATAAATAGATAGATAGATAGATAGATAGATAGATAGATAGATAGATAGATAGATAAAACTCCCCCCCTCCAAAAAACCCCAAAAAACTCAAACAAAACCCCAAAACAAAATAAAACCCAAACCTAACAAAACAAATAAAAATAAAACAAAGGAAAAAAAAGTACCACAAAAAAAACCACCCACACACAAACAAAAAGAAAACAAACCCTCAAAAGAAACCCAAAAAGGTAGATTTAGGTACCAAGAACGTGAGAGAAACGTCCTATAATAAACACAGCTCTCTCACTTTGTTTTTTTTTGTACATATAAAACCTGTTTCTACAGAAAAGCCAATCAGCAGTGAGGTGCAATTAACTCTCAGAAGAAACAGGAATATCCTAGGATGAAAATTCCCTCGTTTCAGCCCCAAAATTCAGGTGCCACCTCCCGGCCAAGAGCCCCGGCGGGGGGAGCGATGACCTCACCCTGACTGGCAGTGCTGATGCCCAGGTGAGTCAGGTTGGCAGCAAGATTTCCCGTGCTGTTGGAGCTGCTGAGGGCTGGGAATGTGGATTCCTCGGGATCCAGCGGCGTGGGCAGCGGGGAGGGGAAGTGGATGTTGGTCAGGTCGGGCAGGGACCCGCCCGTGTTGTGCGTGGCAGGAATCAGGGCTGTAGTGTTCTCCTGGTCGGCTGAGGGGAAGATGCTGGGTCAGGGAGAGAGGGGAAAGGAAGAAAAGACACATTCAGTTGAAATTCCAGCTTTCCAAGGGGGTTTTTACAGAGAAGATTCCAGAGGTGAGGCTGGGTGTTGGAGGACAAACAGCCAGAAAAGCTCGCAAAGGGTCTCGTCCCACATCCAGAGCAGGGCTGGAGCAGGGAAGGGCTTCCCAGGGAACCCCAAGGCAAAAGGATATTCAGTATACAATATTCAATATAAAATATTCAATATACACTATTCAATATAAAATATTCAATATAAAATATTCAACATAAAATACTTAATATAAAATATTCAATATACACTATTCAATACAAAATATTCAATATAAAATATTCAACATAAAACATTCAATATACAATATTCAATATAAAATATTTAATATACAATATTCAATATATAATATTCAATATACACTATTCACTATTCAATATACACTATTCAATATACACTATTCAATATAAAATATTCAATATAAAATACTCAATATAAAATATTCAATATAAAATATTCAATATACACTATTCAATATAAAATATTCAATATACACTATTCAATATACAATATTCAATATAAAATATTCAATATAAAATACTCAATATAAAATATTCAATATAAAATATTCAATACACACTATTCAATATAAAATATTCAATATAATATTCAATATACACTATTCAATATACACTATTCTATATACACTATTCAATATATAATATTTTTTTCTTAGGAAGATCTCAGTGCTCTTCAAAAAAGAAGAAAAAAAAAATTGCTCAGGACTTACTTGATTCCTGGAACTTCACATGATTTAGGTCTGGATGACCCAGTCTAAAAGAGAAGGAAGAGAGTTTTTAAAGGCACAGAAGGAAGAGAGTTTTAAAGGCACAGAAGGAAGAGAGTTTTAAAGGCACAGAAGGAAAAGAGTTTTTAAAGGCACAGAAGGAAGAGTTTTAAAGGCAAAGATACTGCTGGAAGTGAATGTTCAGGATATATTTCAATTCAAAAGGTTTAATTTGATACATTTCTAGAGGAGAGCTGTTCTACACAAGAGCTCTGTGAAGCTCTTAGAAGATATTTATCACCTTTTTTTTGCTTTATTGTCCCAACAAATCTTAAATTTCAAGATTTTCTCCTGATGAAATCAATCACACATAAATACCTAAAAATGCCTTTCTGGTCCATTGCTTATGATTTGTTTCTAAACACAACATTTAATCTCAAATCTCTTCAAGTGGTGACAACATTTCAAGCATTCATTTACCTCAATATGTTTAGAAAATAACATTTCTACATTTCAAAGGGTGCAATTCCCACCTTTTTAGTGTCCCAGCCTTGCTTGGAGAGGGTTTTGTCTGCATCTGAGGTGCCTTCCTCCATTCCAGGGACAGTCAGCAACAAAACTAAAACAGGACAACAACAACAACAACAAAAAAAATCATAGAATTAATAATCAATAACATGAAGCTTCTCGGGAAGACATTTTCAGACTGGAAATGTAACCATTTGAAAAATGCTGAAGAATTATCAGCGAGTTTGAAACTCATTAAAAAAACAAAGACACCAGGAAGCAGAAGAGACTAAAATTGTGTTTAATTAACTAATTAATCAGTGAGACATTATCAGCTTTAAAATAATACTTTACAAGACTTCTGGTCTCCAGTTTAGTCTGCTAAGGCTAAAGATCTAAATGGATCTAAATGGATTCCACTTGGATTTAAATGGAAGGGAGTGTTTGGGGCCTGGTTTTTGCATTCTGCACGAGTGATTCCACCTGGGACACCTCATGGGCAGCCAAGAGGACAATTCCAGGGGGGAACAATCCAATCCATCCCCCCTGGGAGAGAGAAACACGATAAAGCTGCTGCTTCTCCACATTCCAAGGCCATTTCTTGGTTCAAACAAACAACTGCAAGGTGACAAAGAACCACCAGAAGGAGCCCAGAGGGAGAGATGAATCCACAGGAACGTTTCACACCGACAGCCACAAACCCATATTTAGGGAATACTGTTGAACAGGACCATTTTTCCATGTTTTCCAGCTCCAGGAGCACACAGAAGAGCCACAGCACAGCCAGTTTGTGCTGCATGTTCATCCTTGTTGAAGGATTAAACTTCCCCACAGAGACTCCAGAGCTTCCCACAGAACCAGGGAATTGTTAAGGCTGGAAAAGACCTTTGGGATGCTCAAGGGCTGCCGTGTCTCCCGAGCTGGAGCAGGCTCAGGGCCCAGCAGAGGGCACCAGAAGTGTGGTGCTCCAGCCTGGAGCTGGGAATGTCCTCAGTGCTGCTGGGAAGTGCTGCCTCCCAGGGGATGTTCCCTGGGGAAGCCTCGCTCCCTCCCGGTGTTGTATCCCTGAGTGAACTGCTGGGATCCCTGTGCTGGCTCTGGAAGGGACTCCAAACCTTTGGTGGCACTGGGAGCACTCACCAGCCCAGGGAGAAGGGTCAGAATAACACCATTTGGGGCTCAGGGGAATGTTCTCACTTAGTTTTGTACCATTTTTCTCTGGATTTCAGCCCCCACAAAGGTCATTATGATCCCTCACTCCAATTCCAGTGTCATGGATCCAGGGAGCAGCAGCAGATCCGTGTTTCCCAATCCCCCCTGGGAGATCATGGGAATGCTCTGGATGGCAGAAATACCTGTATCCATTTTTCCCTGTTTACCTCTTTTCTGCTGCATGTCCTGGGACCCTCCAGAGAAGGATTCCTGCTGAGCTGGAGTCATGGTGCTCTGGTGCAAGGCAGAATCGGAATTTGTCCTGAAAACAAAACCAAAAAAAAGGCAAAACCCACGATATTTTTATTGCCAGCTGCTCTAAATAAAAGAATTTAAATCTCTCAGATCAAGGCAACCAGCTCAGTAAAACCTGAACACTCTGCATTAAAAACCAAAAATCTACATATGGCACATCCCAGGGACAATTTCCTTGTGAAACAATCAATTTGCAGGACAAATTTGAAGTTTGAAGAGCCATTGTTTCAATAATGGGATTGAGAGGGATACAGGATAATTTGATTGCCCTCATCAGAAAAGAATTTTCTCAGCTTTGTTAAGGTCATGCAGGATCAAATAATGCCCTTTCTGAGCCAAAAGCTGTTTATAAATACTTTGGTTACAGTTTGAAAAACAACTGTCCCTGTTTGGCAGGGAGGGAAAATGAGAGGTTTGGGATGCAGGGACACTGTGGAGATGGGAATGTCCATGGGCATCACACCTCTGGTGATGAACCAGCCCTCAGCTGTGAATGCAGGGCAACAAGTCACAACTCAACAACTCCGGGCTGTGCCTTGGAATATCGAGGCTGACCTTGGAAAAGCTGACACACCTTAATTTCAAAGAGGGTCATCCACAAGGAGCATAAGCAAAGGAAAACCCCATTTCTGGGTTGAGAAAGGCACCCCAGCTCGTGCTGGGGGGAATGGTGAAGGTGTGGAGGTGCTGCAGGGTCAGGGAACAGCCCGAACACGCGCCCGAGGTGCCACCAACCTTCTCCAGCTGGTGTCCGACGGAGGGGACAGGTACACTGTTCCATAGGGACAGCTGTCCACGTGATCCCAGAGTTAAGGGGAACAACAGCACTTCCTCACTGAAGCAGGAGGCCCACTGGAAATCTTTTCCTAGGAATAATTCCAATTAGCCCGTCAGGAGGCACCGAGCTCCAGGGAGAAAAGCGAGCAGATGCCCCGAGGGGAACTTTAAAAACACTCCAACCAAAGGAGTACGTGGATTGTTGTGATGTTTGAGCAGCAAGAGAATCGTCCTCCTTTCCTGCAGATCCAACTGCTCCCTGGGCAGCCACCACCCCCTACTCCCCCATTCCCACATCCCCTCCAGCCCCATCAACCCAACCCCACGGTGGCACATTTTAAGGCCGTCAGGAATAATCAGCTAATTGGTGTTCCCACGTGGCAAGAAGAAACATCGCTGGGCAAATGCCAAGGGGATGAATCAACCTGCAATCAAATGCACAACCAACTGCAAAGATTATCCCGGGCTGGATTTACTCGGATCCAAAGGGGAATTCTGCTTCCCTGAGACGGACAGGACTTTTCAGAGAATCAGGGAATGGTTTGGGTTGGAAACAGATGATCTGTGTCCTTCTCATGTTGGGGGCCACAAAGCTGGTGAATTTGTGGAGGGTGCCCTCGATGCCCCTGCCCATGTCACCAACAAAGACGTGGAACACCCCAAAACCCCAAGGGAACCACCCACTGCTGGTCCCACTGAGCCACCGACTGCAGCTCTGGGAGCGTGGCCATCCAGGGAATTCCTTACCCACTGACAGGGCCATCCATCACATCCATGACTCTCCAGTTTGGAGGCAAGGATATCACGTGGGACACTGCCAAAAGCTTGGCACAGGTCCAGGGAGACGATGGCAGTGACCCCATCATAGGAGGCTGCAGAATTGGGCAGGATTTGCCCCCAGGGAAGCCCTTGTTGGCTGTCACCAACCCAGCAAAGGATCCCAATCCCCCCCAGCCCCGTGTGCAGGATCATCCCCACTCAGAGCTGAGGAAACAGGGGAAGGGAAACGCTCCCTTTAGGTACTTCTAGCCCAGGCCACAGCTCAGGAGAAGAGGTGACACCGACAGGGACGGGAACGACTGGCCCAGGTGAGGAGGTGAAGGAGGAAGGAGGGAACTGTGGGACTGGAAGCAGTGATGTCATTGGGAGTCCTGCCCCAAAGGATATCTGTCTTCCATGTTTATCCACGGAGAGGGGCCGGCGGTGGGGGGAGCCCAGGCGGTTCCTGTCCCGGTACACTCTGTCCACCAGCCCATGGTGCCGGGTCGTCCTGCTCGTGTCCAACCCCGACGACTGGAACGGAGTCTGGGGGAGACACAGCAAGTCAGGAACGGGGAAATCCACACACAGGCTGCCCAGAACCCACTCGGGGTGTGTGCAAGGCTGTGATGTTCTGAGGAATCACACTCACACAAGATCTGGACAAGTGTCATCACGGCAACGTTCCCCTCCGTGGTTGGAAGGATGCCCAAGGCTGTCCTTCCAGAGGGGGACCATGCTGGACCTGCCCTCTCCTAGATCAGCTCTCACGCCTCCCTATCCCTAAAACCCCCCCGTGTGAGGGTGGCAGGGGGCTGCCAGCTGTGTCCACATGCCCTGGGTGCAGCATGCAGGGTGCATCCAGAAGGAACATGCCGACCCCACGGGCAGGAGACGCAGGAAGGAGACGCGCGGCGAGTCCGACATTCCGAACGCGCCGCCTGCTCTCGGGGCTTCCTTTCACCCCTCCCTCTGGGAATTATTTGAAGGGGACACTGAGAGAATGAAAATTAAAAGAAAAGCAGTTTCCTTCCTCCTCTGTCTAGAAAAAAGTGACGGTGTCTGGTATTTCCGAGGTGACTCTCGGCTCCCTCCGGGACCCGGGGTGGGACGGTCCCACCTGGGCTCTTATCAGTGGAGACCTGCCAGCAAATATTTCAGAGGATGAGGAGAGCAGAGAAAGGACAGGGGAAGATGAATTCCCAGGTTAAACTGGAAAACTCCCACATTTTCCAAAGCCCTTCCCTGCATATACCTGGGGGAGGGGGGCAAAGGAAGTACCGAGGGGTCGATCTGCGCTCGTCCTCCACCGGCAATTTATGGGTCTCTGAGGGGGGAAAAAAAAAACAAACCTCCCCAGTTTTCCACTCCTTGCCAATGTGAACAGCTTTGCTGAGTCCCTCAACACCATCTGTTTGGAAATCCAAAATTTCCTCCTCCTCCATTCAGGTGCTGCATGTGGCAAATGCACTGTCCTGTCTGCCAAGCCATGGAACCATCTGGCTCCCACATTCAGCTCTTCTGGTTTTGTTTTTTTTTCCT